TTTTTTTTTTTTTTTTTTTTTTGGATTTGGTGATTTTATTATTGGTTTGAAAAATTATATTTGGAAAGATGTTGACAAATGGGGGGGTCCCACGTGGAAAAATGGCCTAGAAAAGGAACAGATGCAAGCATTTTTTTGACCTTATAGCGTCCGAAATCCCCTGTGATCCGAACAGCAACAAAAAAAAAAAAATAATAATAATAAATTAATATTGTGCGGTGTTTTATTTTATTTTATTTATTTATTTTCCGTTCATTTTTGTTGTGATTTCATGAGAAAATGACACGTACTCTTAATGATTCTGAGTTGGATATTACTTTGGGTAAGTTCAAAATTCTTTTTAGCTTATGATTCATAATTTTGAATTATTATTATTATTTGATAATAAAGTTTATAGGTAATTAATTAGAAATATTGTTAAAATATTTAATTTATCTAGATCCGGAATGAAGACATATTGGAATATATTATCCGCGTTTTGTTTATTATATAAAATAAAAGCATACCACAAACGTCTTGTCAACTCATTGAATTTGTCATAAAGACGGAAGACAAGGAAAAAAGGAGTTTACCAAAATAATTTTATTAAATGCAACTCATAAAGACAAGAGACAAGGAAAAATGGGATTACCAAAATAATTTAATTTAGTGTTCAAAGTCACAAAATTTTATTTATTATAAGAATCAACCCTAGATATTGTCGAAAAACCCGAACTCATTACCAGTAGATATTGTCTGTTTTGACTGTTACGTATCATCAGGCTCACAATTTTAAAATATGTCTACTCGGGTGATGTTTTCATACTCTTATAAAAAATGTGTATAATAGGGAGAAGTTTTCATACTCTTATCAATCGATGTGAAATCTCACAATCCACTACTTTAAACTCATCGCTAACAAGTATTGTTCGCTTTGGCTTATGAGATCTCACCCTTGTAAACCTACCGTTAGCAGATATTGTCCACTTTGACTCATTAGTATTACTGTCAGCCTCACGTTTTTAGAACACGTCTACCATTAATAGGTTTTCACACCCCTGAATGTTTCGTTCCCCTCTCCAACTGATCTGGGATCTCGCGATCTCACAATCTCACAATCCACCCCTTTGCGTTCTGGCACATCATCGCCCAGTGCCGCTAACAGATATTGTCTGCTTTAGCCCATTCCATATTGTCGTCAGTCTCACAGTTTTAAAAAGGCATCGACTACGTAGTGTTGGATGATGAAAGTCCCACATCGACTAATTTAGGGAATGATCATGAGTTTATAATCAAATAATACTATCTGGCCTTTTAGGGAAGCCCAAAACAAACCCATTGAAAGCTTGTGCTCAAAATTGATATAAAATCTTACCGTGATTGTCCCAATTCCTTCCCTTTGAAGCTATCTTTTGGTGTTGGAGCTTAGAATGGCAAAGAATGCTAAGGGGCTTCCAGCTACCTCGCCCATGTGGATATGGAAGCCTTTTCTCTTTTCCATTTCTACTCAAACACGTCGAACACGCCTAACAGAAGCACGACTTTTGTACATATATCTCTGGAAGGGTCATGTAAAAAGTTGGAAACTTTACCTTTGAGTTCTCTAAAAATGGTGCAAGTATGGAAGTAAAGGCTTAATGATCAATGAAAACTTTAGCTATTGCATTTTATGAGTATGATATCAAATTGAGTGACAGTGAGGGGTCAAATAATTTGGGTGGGGTGGCACAAAGGGCCCATACCCATACTTGGATAAGGGTATATGAAGAGCCATGTGCCCAAACGCCAGAAATCTCATCTTCCTGTGCATCACAGAGCAAAAGAATACCCCATTATTGTATATCACCACACTCTTGTCTTTGCTTTCAGTTTCACCTGTTACATCTGAACTCAACATAACCCTCTCATTATATAAAGGATTTTGCTTTCTTATTTTGTCATTTTTTAATCATTCAACTTCAACAATCATCGCTTCCCAAAGCTTTCATGGGCTACCGTGTCGCTCACACCAACAAAAAAGGAAAGGGTGACTACTAGCGAGAGAATTATATTAAGCTTTGGTACCCTTTATCATATTTCACCTCTCGAATCTAAGATACTACACGTTTATGCAAATAGTCGTATGATTTCCCTAAAAAAACATTACATGACACATGATAATTTAGAACAATTTGTTGAACACAACTTTTTGTGAGAAAAACTCCTTTCTTTATCGATACAAATTGAGAAGAGATTATAAAACACTGTGTAACAACTATTCCACTCTGTTTACTGTTTAAATATCTGAATCTTATTGAACTTGTGATGATGTTTTTAACACAATTTAGTTGTCCTATTGAACTTGTGATGATATTTTTAACCCAATTTAGTTGTGAATGGGGAAATTCAAAATAAGAACACATTCTTTTTTTGATATTTATGGATGAAATTGCAATAGATATTAAGATTATAATTTTAATTCATAAAAACGAGTAAAGAAAATAGATTTTTAATTTGCCGGGTAACTTAATAGCTTGGGTAGTTAGGGCGTTGGTGTACGTACTACTACTCAAAGGTCGGTAGGTTCAAATCTGGCGCCGATCATTTTCTGAATTTTTTTTTTCTAACCCTTTTCGTTTAATCAATTTGGACGGTTTTGATCTTTATTTCCTTGACTCAGATTGGGTCAGATTCATCGAAGGCGCCAGTTCGTCGGAGTTGCGATCGTCTTCTTCTATCTTTTTGCTAATCGATTCGAAAATGGTAAATCCCTCAATTTCTTGCGATTGGTAGCTTGAAATTTTCTTTTACGCTTGTTTTTCGTTGGATTAGGTTTGCTTGGCGTGTTTGTTGCCTCTGTTTCTCATTCCAGTCGTCAACGCGCTGCCTGTTCTGTTCGATTTAATTATGGTACGCCCATATGATTCATTTCTCTTTTGGATCTCATCTTTTCGCCTGTTCATCAAATCGCCTCAAAGATTTCGGGTTTTCTGTGGTGTTGAAGGCAATTTTGATAATATTCGTCCTAATTTTCTGCTTTTTCTTTTGTTGTTTTTCTTGAATTTTCTCTTAGGGCAAAATTTATGGAATTTTTGGCTGGGAATACAGAAAACCACAGAGGGTACCGCCGGCTTGCCCCTATCGCCCTGCTGCCAAACAAAATAGCAATGTGAGTGGTCTGCTATCGTTTTTACTCTATTTGTGTTGTCTATTGGTCTTTTGAAGAAGTAACACACGGAATATTGGGGAAATGGATGAATTTTTGTTGAGAAATTGGATATGAATGGAGCGTATGTCGTGAAGAAGTTTAAGCTTTGATGGATTAATCTTCTTGTGCATATGTCTGGCTCATACACTATGTTGACGGTGAGAAAGGATATATATTGCATCCTGGAGGGGATATAATTGGAGATTCCATTTTTTGGTACAGAAGTTCCAATAGAAATAGGAAATACCTACCTTTGAGTGCAGTTTGAACTATTGACTACGTAATTAGAAGTAACCAATTAGGTTTATGATGAAACCTAGAAATCGATCGCTGATCCACTTTGAGTACCCCCACATGATAAGACCTCAACAAAAAATGGAGGAGTAACGACATCAGGTGATTGAGTTCAGCAGTTCCTCATATAAAATTATTGACTCTAGAGATATATTGGTTAATTGTTTTCTCAAGAAGCCACTTTAATAGCATGGGCATACTGAGGAGATTGCCAGGATTGTGCATATTTACTTCATGAGACAACTAAATATGAATCATAATGTTGATTAAGTACGTGTAGCTAGTGTATTGGAATGCTAGGGTAGTGTCAAAAGAGCAATTACCTTACTTAGGAAAACTTCACTGAAGCAGAAGTTGAGAGAGACTCTTCTCTTTGTTATGCCTCACGTTGTCTCCTTGCTTGCTCTTCAGCTCCCCAAGAGGAAAACCCTCAAGTATGCCTTCCGCCTTTTAAATCGTTGTTATTAATGGTTTTAGGACCTGCTATAATCAATTTTTGTTAGTTGTAAACGAATAAATTAAAGATGACTTCTTTTGAATCGGATGACATCCCTCGATTTTTCTCCCCCGCCATTTTTCTCTTCTCTACCTTAAGCGGGATGATTTTGGGAGCACCATATCCTTTTGAGTTTATGTATATACTCGAGCTGCAGCAGACATCAGACATTTGTACTACCCTAAGATGAAAGTTCACATAACGATATGTGTTTTTATTTTCTTGTGTAAAACGAGAAAGTGCCTTCGTTTTGTTTTGCTTGTGTTTGTATTTTGTATTTTGCTGTTCTTTTTTTTGTCGGACTTCCTGACAGCGGATATGTGTGTGTTCTACGCTGCACCTATCGTCTAGTGGTTTAATTCTTAAGGTTTGCTCCTCTGGCTGGCTGAAGCAAGCTTTTTCTTAATCTTAATAGGCGGAGTTAGAACCTCCAGCTGGTCAGCAACTCCCACCTCCAAAAGTCGTGGATGCCATGGATGATAAGCAAGACTGAATCTGGAAATTTCTGATGTACATACCTGTCAGCAAGATCAACAGATGTTTTGTGGCCCTAGAAGCTGTGGACGCTGTCGACTCTAGGAAGCTATGATTTCCAATCGGGTCAGACAAAAAAATATATTTTAAACTCTCATCGCTAGTACCATCGATACAGTTATTTGTCAGTGCATGCTTTCTGAATAACATCAATACAGATATTGTATGTATGCTTTCTAAATAATTTAGCTGGTTGGCTTGAATATGTTTTCCTTACTTGGTAGTTAATTAATGTTCGTGGAATCTCTGGGAAGAAAAAACAAAACAAATTAGGCCTAAAAAAAGGCTTAACTAACAGATGCCTACTAACTCTTTTGTTCCCAAAAGAAATTTTGGCTGCCTTATCTGCCTTCATGTTAACGACTAAGATAGTGTTGTTTGTTACCCTCCTTTATATATACATATGGCCCATTGAGTGTATAGATTGCGAATTATGTCCTTTGAATTCCAAAATAGAAAATTAGTGTTTTAACCATGGTGGGGACAAATACTTGAATAGCATATTGTACTGAGCTTCTTGCCAGCTGTAGAGTAGAAACTGAACGAAGTTGGTAGCATAGCTGCATGACAAATCATGATAAGAGAAAATAGGATCTTATATTTGAAACCAGCGTCGAACAAGGATTAGATTGCAAAAGAAAAGAAAAGAAAAGATATTAGGGGAGGAATAGAGAACACCGCTTTCTAGAGGAGAAATAGAGAACACAGCTTATACATTCTTATCTTTGATTTTGTTGTTAAATAATATTAAGATATTATTATTATTATTTTGATCTGTGTGTTTATGGACCAATTTCTGTGCAACAAACATTTGGTTGTGAAGAATACTTTAAGGATATCAAATTGTAGGTAGATTATTTATTTATTTATTAAACTAACATGTGGGATGGGAGAATTGACCCCTTGATATCTGTTTTGATTGAGGGTATACATCTTAACTACTTGAGTTATATAAGTAGTTGGCGATTGTCACTGTGACTTGCTAAGCTTTTTATTATTTATATTAGCCTTTATTGATTATTAGGTTAATCTATAATGATTCATGTTATTATTGGTACATAGTATGACATATTATATGTTAGATGGGGTGGTAAGCTTGTTGTCCTTTTTTGTACTATAAATAAGATGTCAAATAAGATTTTTCGTGTTATATGAACACGGATATGAGACAGAAATGAAAGATTTAAAAGTGTATAGAGATGGAAAGGAAGAAAGTTGGACAATAATAGCATGGGAGACTAAAAGCAAATGTATTATTGAAGGTATAAAGATGTGTTTGCCACTTGGGGAGTTTGGCTTTGGAAATTAAGTGATAGAATGAGTTGTGGTGAGAAAAAGAGGGAAAAGCAAAGCAATATCAACATCTTGGGTGGTTTCAAACTCATTCCAACCCTTCCTTTTTTCTCCTTTTTTTTCCTTCACATAGAGACATGAAGCTTTAGTCTTATTCTATGCTCAACTTGAATTAAATTATTTACCTATAAATTATAACTCATCTGTAGAAGGGGTCAGTCTTTATTTATGGCTATGAAAGTGGCAGTGTTTGTACGTATAGCATTATTTATTTTATTGACTTACCTTTCTGGGGAGGCAAGTGGGCTGTGTAAGGAAAGCAACCTTGTTGTATTAAAAATCACAGCCACAAAGGGCATAATTTGTTGGTCTATCTCTATCAGTGGAGTGGATTGGATTGGATTGCATACCCTGTTAAACCATCCTCCATAACCCAGAAGACAAAACGTACATAACTCCTCTGTATAGTTCATGTATATAAAGCTTCATGTTCCCTCGAATGGATTTTATACTGATTCTTTGGAGGGTAAAGAAGAAGAATCCTTTTCAAAACCTCCAAGTTCACCAATGATATATCGCTTCAAAAGGACTGGAATTCTAGCCTAAGAAGAACAATTAGGTCGGTCTATTACCATTTAGCTAATGGAGATTTCTTTTTTTGTTCACTCTCTATTTCGTTCTTAAGGTAAGTTCTTACCGCATACGTCTCTTAAAGGAGGTTAAATCAATGCTTTGTCCATTCAACTTTTTTTTTAGTATAGATAGTGACAGACATTATATAGAGTAAGAATAGTGCAATTGTATATAGAAAGAAGCCAATATTGTGCATTACACCATAATGCCAAACAGAGTGTTTCAGCACATTATTCACATAATGCTATTAATTTTGGGTAAGCCAATCAAATTCTTTGCTTTAAAGACAGAGAGAGAGAGTGGAGAGGGCTTTGGTGGAATCCAACAATAGGACACATGTGGTGAGCAGATTCTTATCCAAAGTCAATTGGATGTGATTCCTGTTCTTTCTCATCCACACTTTTGGAGGTTTTTTTTTTGTTGAAAGGTTTGATTTTATTGATTAATGAACAATGGGATTTGTTAGTGTTTAACAATACGGTTTAAACACAAATGTTTTGTTTTATTTTACTTTGAAGTGTCATTTTTTTTATAGTTATTTTCAAAATAAATTTATATCCCTTGATATTATAATGTTTTAGGTAACTCGATAGTTTACCTAATTAAACATGATATTTAGTGCCACACCTTGTAATATATGAATATATGAAAAGTATATGAATATTAAGGAATAAAACTTTGAAAAGTTTTAATCATTATATTTTTTTAAGAATGGATATTCCTTTTCTCTTCTTCGATTCAAAATATCTGAATCCAAAATAGCTAAAAAGAAAAGGAAAAAAAACGTGTTGGAATCTAAGCATGCATCCTTTTCCAATAAAAGAAAACAAAGTAATCTTTAAATAAAGAAAATTGAAAAATAAAAATAAAAAGCAAAAGAAAAACACTGTTTGAGATTAATCCATAGGCTTTAATCAACAAATGGGTCTTGAATTTGTATTAAAAATTTATCAATATATATTTTATAGTTAATGGATTGACATTAAAAATTACAAAATGAAGAAAAGGACAATTGACAATATTAGACGATTTTTTTATTATCATTTCTTGAAAAAAAGCAATTTGGTAAGCGGTAAGCACCTCACCATCAATTTAATTTTTTTAAAAAAAATTAAAATACAAAATTTGGGTTTAATTTAGAAAAATATTAATACAAAGAAAATAAGAAACTTTTAGCTGTTCTGTCCTTTTGTCACCTTCTATACTTTTCTCTGTTCATCACAAAAAAATAATTCTACAAATATCATACATTCAAGCCATGAACATGAACCCTCACTTTTTTCTCTATTTACGAAATTGCACCCCTCTTCTAAGATTTTTTTTTAAAAAAAATATCTTTACTAAAAACTGGAATTATTTTTTTATGAATTTATCGAGAGAGGGAGAGTCCGAATTGATTATAAATATTATTTGGAAAGCATTTGTTTATTCTAGATTGTGTTAGGAAGAGGGAATATTTGGGATTGTGAAGGGCTTTTTGGTCAATTAAAATGTATTTTATGGATTAATGGATTCTATGTTTTTTTGCTGCTAGAGACCCCATCGGTGAACTCTGAATCTCAGAGCCTAACCGACGAGGAAGAAGAGAAAAAACCAAGAAACAAAGATATGGGTATTTTGCTTGACGATGTTGTGCTTATCAGGCCGTCGGAGAAACACGATGAGCCTAGCGTCATCACTGTCAATTGCCCCGATAAGACTGGGTTGGGCTGCGACTTGTGCCGCGTAATTCTCTTCTTTGGTCTAAACATTGTCCGAGGCGGTGAGTGAATCATCAAATCGTTTCTTTCTTTGATTTTAGACGTCGTGGTTAGGTTTTCGTTTTCGGTATTCAAATCAAACAGGTAGTGGGCGATTGGGTGTCTTTTTTTTTTCTTTTTTTTTCTTTTTTGGATTGATTTATTTCAATTAGTGATTTGATGGTCTTGCTAATCTTGTGAATTTGTCAATACCATGATGAAGATGTTACAACCGATGGTAAATGGTGCTACATAGTGTTGTGGGTGACTGGAAATTCGTCGACGAGGTGGGGATTATTGAAACAGAGGCTGGTGGAGGTTTGCCCTTCTTGTTATTCAGCTGCTACGCTTGTTTATTTCCGCCCCGAGCCACAGTCTTCAAAGCCCTCCGATATGTTTCTTTTGAAGTTTTGTTGCCATGACAGAAGAGGGCTTTTGCACGGTTTGTAATTTCCTCCCTTCAACGTGTGCTATGAGTACAACCGTACGAGGAAAAAGAGAGCAAACTGTAGAATACTGTTCTTCTTGTCTCATCTGTTTGTTTCCATTTGTCTTGCTTGTCATATCTGTCTCTAATCTGAAGAGAGTGGTTTCTTTGTAGATGTAACATCCGTTCTTTGCGAACTTGAGCTTCTTATAGAGAAAGTGAAAGTGTCGACTACCCCAGATGGAAAAGTGATGGATTTGTTTTTCATCATTGACACCAGGTTTACATCGAGCTTTATTTATCTGCAATGTGTAACTTATGTGTTTCCCAAGGATTAAATTCATTTTGATTGGCTTGTGTGGGGGATGGATTCATGGTTTCATGAGAGCTAGAACAGTATTGCTTGCATAAATAGTTCAATTCAGGTTACATTGTAGTATGATTGGGCAGTGGTGTTTGCACGGTGTTCCTTCATTGTAGGTTAGATTGTAAGTAATCTTGTGTGGCCAAGACTTCTAGTACGAGCTTTCCGTTCTACCACTTCGCAGTCTCCATTCTTTTTCCTTTACCTGTGAGCAGAGGGGTGGGAAGGGTTGGGTTTGGCAGCTCCTGAGATGATGCCAACATAGTAGCAGAATAAGGGAAACCGTAAATGTCGAATGTACAATTGCAGACCTTGAAGAGAGAAACCCCAACTCGTGTTTGACATGAATGTATATATATAATTTCTACATACTAATGTATGGTGTTTCCTTTTTCCTTGTTTCAGAAAACGTATTTTCATTTTTGTGTTTCCATTAGGGAGCTTATGCACACAACAAAGAGACAGCGGGACACGTGTGACCACTTGAAGCATGTCTTGGGGGATGCAATGATTAGTTGTGAAATAGAGATGATTGGCGCTGAGGTTATGTTATGCTCGCAGGCGTCGTCTCTTCCATCTGAAATAGCAAAAGAACCTGATTTAAATGAAAATTCACCTACCACATCATCAGGTGCTAAAGATGTCTCTGTCACCCTGGACAACTCGCTCAGTCCTTCTCATACCCTTGTCCAAATTGTCTGTCAAGATCACAAAGGTCTTATTTATGACATTATGAGAACTCTTAAGGATTACAACATTCAGGTATATAACATTCATTCATTTCAATGTCTAAGTAACATTTGTTTCAGAAGTTATCAGAAATATGGGCACCCAATTCTATTGTGTCTGATTATTACCACTATTTTATTGTCTTGCACTGCATAGTTCAGGTTCTGTTATCTATATTTAAACTCAATTGTGTAGCCAGATCTCTTATGGACGCTTCAATAAGAAGGAGAGAAGAAGCTGTGAGATCGATTTGTTCATCGTGCAAGCTGATGGAAAGAAGATTCTAGACCAAAGCAAGCAGAATGTTTTGTCAACACGCTTACGGATGGAACTGATTCATCCCCTCAGAGTAACTGTTTTGAGCAGAGGTCCCGACACAGAACTCTTGGTGGCAAACCCGACTGAGTTATCTGGCAAGGGTCGACCTCTTGTGTTTTATAACATCACTCTTGCTCTAAAATTGCTCGACATCGGTATTTTTTTGGTAATTCTCATCAGTCTTCTTACAATAATTTATGGAACTATTCGATGTCATCCTTGCAATATTTCATTTCTTTCATACATCCATAGCATCTTTCTGGTATTCTCCCAGATTAACATATGAAAAGGATATCACCCCTATGATATATTCCTCAAAATTCTTTGTACTCTTTGCCTTCTGATGTGGTGAAGTCTCGGATTTGAGATTTAGCTCTTCAAATTTTAGTTTTGGCAATTCATCTGGAGAATGTTCCCTTCATGATATATGTATATATTTTGCTTTTGGTGTATATGATGGCAAAGCTTAACTACAATGAGATTGGTCTTTCAGGCAGAAATCAGACGCTACTTGATAGGAGACCAAGAATGGGAAGTGTACAGAGTCATGCTTGATGAAGGTGCTGGATCTTCGGTTCCCAGAAACAAGATCAAGGACGGAGTCCGAAAGATGTTGATGGGATGGGCGTAGTACGAAAATCCGAAAGCTGAAAACAAAGCTCTCTTTTCCAGGTTAGGATGGGCTCCTCCTCCTAATCTTATTGATGCTTGTAACATGTCATCTCTGTATTCTAATGGGACAGGATCGTGTGAATTATGATGTAAAATTGGATATATTCAACTCTTTTTATAAAGAACTGCCTTAAGAGCTCTATTGGTCTCAACTTTATACAGAGCACCCGTTACCATTTTGAAAAGAAACGTGCTGGAAATAAGATGAAACAACAACCTGAGAGTGAAAGAAAACTAAGAACAGAAATTTGATGCTTTTTCCATAGCGTCTGCCTTAAGGTTTGCTAACTCTTCACAGTTTCCAGTACACTCCCAGCTTGTGCAAAATCCCTGCAACTATTCCCCAGAATGCTATTTCAGCAAATATCACATATAGCAGAGTTCCCAGTTTCCTTGAGTGCCAAACATTGATGAACACATGCTTTTGAATCCAATGAACCTGTTTATATTATTGATCATCCGTCATTAATCTGATTCATTTGAAGGACATGTGTCAGAGAGAAAAGGATACTTACTAGGGAGTTTTCGGGAGCTTTATAGTACCATCCATTGATAAAAGCTGCAAAGATTCCCTGAGCTGCCATTACAAATACCAGCATTGCATTCATTCCTATCCATTCCAGAAATAAGAATGGCTTTCGGAACCCCCAAACGTCGATCTGTGTCGATGGAGGAAGAGACATCTATGAAACTAAAATGCTAGAGATTCAGAGATGAAAAATGGGTTTAAATGAGATTTGGATTTTAGTTTTACCAGAATGTAGAAGCCTGAGAAAACTATCCCTGCTGCTCCTGCTGTGAAGCAGACATAGCTAAGACTGTAAAGCTGTTTGTTTATAGGAATGGCTGCAAATTCAGTACAATACTGACTTAGATTCAGTGGAGATTGTTTGGTAAGTGTTTTGAACTTGGTATGATCATGAAAGCAAACCGTTTGTAAAATGAAGGATGATGCCAATCACAAAGCAGCCAAGCCCCATTGCCATCCATTGCTTGAGCCGTTGAGAGTGCGCCTGCAAAAAAGTCTCCACTTTCTTAATCTAGGACTGCAAATCCATACATTCAACTGAATTGGAGTCTGTTCTATACCTTGAAATGAATCAGAACATGGCCATAATGGACGCCAATGGTGCCAGAAACAATGGCCGAAACAGAACTGAAACCAACAAAAGAAAGCCAAATTAATCCAACTTTTCCTTGTCTCCTTCAGATTGTGCAAAATTTCGCTCGCTTGAGCATCGTCCAACTAGTTTAAGCTTATATTTTCAACTAAAAGGACAAAAGTTTGAACCCGAAGAAAAAATTGTCAAACCTCAACAATCCCTCAGGCTCAAACGGAGCTAGACACCAACTTGGAGCGTCATTCCGAAGAGGGCCATCGTTCGGTGAGCTAAACGTACAGTCCTAAATCATTTGTTACACATTCAACAAGCCTTTAGAAACTATATCCAATAGTATGTTCCATGCAACAGTCTTGGATTCACAAACAAAAATCACAACTTTTATCATTATTATTGATCAACATCCCATATAAAACCTTGAGGCGACTCCAAACAGGGTAGGCATAGAGATGGTTAACGCCCCAAACTCTGCGATCAACATGGCCTACGGCATTGCAGGCAGGACCCAAGTGGCCTCGAACCCCACAAACTACCTGAAAACCAACACGAGTTTTAAGTCATAATTAAGAAGATAAATACACAGTGGAGCTTAAAATTTGAGCCAAAGGAGGCTTACTGTGTAATGCTGCAGCTGCTTGTCGGCGTCCAGCACTGAGAAGCTCCAATCTGGAACATAGAGCGCATAGGTTGTAATAACGTATATAACCATGGCTGCAAACCCTCCAATCCTGCAGAGAGAGCAATGTGTAATGTGAAAAGACAGTGAAAAACACAGAGAGGGAGAGATCTGAAGCCCACCATTGCCAACGATATGCTGTGAAAATGGAGATATGGCCATCGTCCAAGATGACCCTTGGCCTTCCTATGGTGGCGAAAGCTTCAATCATGGCTACCACAAAGTAAACCAACGCTATCCTCTGCAAATCATCCCATGATTTTTAAATAACACAAACATTTGTAAGTATAAAAGGTGAGAATAGATGCAGGAGAACGGTTTTGTTGAACAATACTTGAAGAATGCCACACCATCGAATGTGTTTGATATCAACACCATATTGAAGATCATCAGGAGCATGAGAGTATCCTCCCTGCAAAATTAGGCCCCAAAACACAAGCTTTACAGTCCTTACACATATCTTCTTCGCTGCTTGTTTTATACTCGGAATTTTCTGCAACACATTTCAAATTCAGTCAATGAAAACTAAATAGTCATCAAACAAGACGATAAAGAAATACCTTGAAAGCAAGTGCAATGGCGACTCCGACTATGAAGAGGAAAAATGGCATCACGAAGTCCGCCAACGTGCAACCATTCCACGGCGAGTGGTCGATTCGTGAGTATGCTCCGCCAGCGTCGTCTACCAATATCATTAACTGCAGCACATAACACACACAAACATAGTAACTAATTTGGAAATGTTTATTTGATGGGGTTTGTGAAGTGCTAACCACAATAGTAAGGCCTCTGAAAGCATCTAAAGTGGCGACCCTTTTGGGCTTCTGTGTCACCGGCGGCTCTTCCGCCGCTGCAACTGCCACTGCCACTGCCTCCTCTTTACTACAATCAATTATAACATCGTCTTGTTTTTGGTTAGGAAATGATTCTGTGTTACTCAGCCGTTGTTCCATGGATAACCCTTTAACAAAAGGAAGCTCACAGAATCATACTACTCTCTGGGATAATGGATATCATAACATATATAATATGACAATGGCGATACAGGGGAAGAGAAAGAGAAGGCAATAAGACAAGGCCGGCCGGAGAATCATGGATGATATAAGTTTAAAAAACATATGTAATTAATATTCAAGTTAGTCAAAGAGACTGTGATAATCCAACAAATGAAGGATTTGAGAGAAATGGCCTATATTACGTCTGCTTCATTCCTTGTTTTTCTCAAACATGATTCCTTTCTTTAATTATCATAATCATGTTTTTTTTTTTTTTTTTTGTTATACACGTTTAATCGTGAGCAGATGTGATATGAACTATGATCAAGGAATTTTCATACTTCAAAGTCTAATTACAAGGATTGTTCTTTCCTTTCGACCAGCCTTAAGGGCCCATATATATTTTTTGCTCCGGCTTTGTAGCATCGGACCTTAGGCAAGGTTTGTCTTCGTCAATCGAACATCACTTGTGCGGAATCCAAGCTTGTTCAACCACACACGCCGTTTGCACGTGTATGTTCAATCGTCTGCGACACATCTAACTTGCCTTTACACCAGGCCAAATCATTCTGCCCGACCTTGCCTCTGCTCGAGGCCAAGGTCTCTCAGTGCAACATCGCATCTCATCTTGTTATCTCGATCCCCATCGACATGATTCATATGCCTTGACGCCATCCCAATTCTTGGGGTCAGCCATCACATCTTGCTCAGTCATACCATCGAGAACAGGGCCGCGTGTCACTCATCTCATCAGGACTTCCCGAACATCACATCTTGAAATTGAAAAGAATAGAGTTTTATTTTAGTCTCGTTGAAAGTTAAATTTTTACTTTGCGTTTAGAACTTGCATGTTAGAGTCATTCAAGCGGTATCGATCAAACTCTTATGAAGTGATTCAAATCACGAGTTTTCTTCACTCTTGATCTTGATCATCAAAGTAATCCGTTCCAAAACTTTTCTTTAGATCAACTCCATAACAGTCGACAAGTTTGACGTATAAATAGGAGGAAGCTAATGTGTTAGAAAAAAAAAACATACATTTTTATGTGTAAGCTATGATGAAACACAAAAATTTAATTAAGCTCTAGAGAGAGAGAGAGAGAGTCAAAATTGTTAAGCTTTCTATATTATTTTTAAATCCAAATATCACGCTTTTGTTTCACCCAAAAGCCGCCCCAGCCTTCCCAAAAAAAAGGAAATTCTATTTTATTATTATTTATTTTTTTATCTTTTTCCCCTCCTTCTAGAATAATTATAATTAATTAATTAATTAATCGATTGGAAATAGCCGCTCAACCACTCTTATTTATTATTTTTTTTTTAAATCTTAATAAATAATATATGTGATTAAACTAATTATATTATAAACGTCATTAGCATTTTAATGAAATTATATTGAACGTAGTAAAAGTTAGTATAACAATCATAGGATAAAACGACAAATTTAAATCAAAACCACGTGATTAAATATATTAAATATATTAAATATAAACATGTGGGGTTGTACTTATTATCGTTTTTAATTGAACGTGTATACAACATTTAAATTTTTAAACCACAATAAATATAAACATTCTTAAATTCAGGGTTACAAACACAAGATGACAAAAAACAGATATGAAGGATCATATAAACTAATATTAATCATTGAATATAATTTCAAATTTCAAACCTTGATGAAATAATTGTTTAACGCCCTCCTCCTCCGTCGTGGCCGCCGCCTTCACCAAGAAACCAACACGAAGCAGACACAGCCCATTTCCGCCTATAAATCCCCTCTCCCCTCTTCACAATCTTCTGCAACTTTGTTACCATGGCGATGCTAATCCAAAGAGCTTCTGCGTTGACCTTTGTCGTCTGCCTAATCTCCGCCCTGCTCTGGTCGTGTGCCACCGCGCAGGAAGTCGGTAAGTTCTTATATCATAATCCATGTCTTTTTTCAAATGGTGTGTATTCTGATTATTAGAAGTCACGACTCTCTACGATAGTATGATATTGTCCACTTTGTATTCCTTTACCTATAAAGGCATAATCATTCCCTAAATTAGCCAATGTGGGACTCACTCCCAACAATCTTCCCCTGACGCATATGGAGCTCTCGAATAGCCTCCCCTTAATCGAGACTCACGATCTTTGTTTGATAGTTGAGGATTCTATTGTCGTGGCTAAGTTTAGGGCATGACTCTAATATCATGATAGGAATCAGTGATCTCCACCATGGTATGATATTGTCCACTTTAAGCATAAACTCCCATCGCTTTACTTTGGGCTTCCCTAAAAGGTCTCATACCAATGGTCATGTATTCCTTTACTTATAAACTCATGATCATTCTCTAAATTAGTCAACGTAGGACTCACTCTAATGAAAATCTGTAGAGGATGAGAGCGAGTTTAACTACATAAAAGGGAGCAAGAAAGGGCCGACGAGATGGGGCGAGATTAAAAAAGAATGGGCGACATGCAACAATGGCGACATGCAATCTCCCATTGATTTGTCAAGCAAAAGAGTCAAAGTTGTCAAAAGTTTAGGTCAACTAAAGAGGAAATACAAACCCTCCATGGCCATTCTCAAGAATCGAGGCCACGACATTACGGTAACGTTACATAAATTTACTATTATTAAGGATAGTTGACCGTTCATTACAAGACAAATATCTAGATACAAATATGATAAGCCGTAATGTAAGGCAAATATCTTATATTGAACGGTCAACTATCCTTAACAGCTATCCATCCTTCAACTTTATAATATATAATACAATACAATAATTGATCCAACAGATTAAGTGGGAGGGAGACGCAGGATCAATCGAGATCAACGGAACAAATTATGTTCTTCAGCAAGCTCATTGGCACTCGCTTTCTGAACACACCCTTAATGGAAGAAGCTACGAATTAGAAGTTCATTTGGTTCACCAAAGCTCAAACCCAGACGCCAAATATCCGATTGCGGTTGTTGGCGTGTTCTACAAGATTGGTCGTCCCGATCCGTTCCTGGCCAAGGTGACCCAATAATGAAAAGCATATAAAATTTAATGCTAATGTGTTGAATTTGATGGAATTTAAATTGAAGTATATATTGAAATGTTGATAGATGAGTAGAAAAATAAAGGAATTGGGTGAAGCAAAGGAGAAAAATGCAGGAAGGATAGATCCAAGAGGAATCAAAATGGGTGGGGAGAAGTATTATAGATACATGGGATCCCTCACTGTCCCTCCCTGTACTGAGGGTGTCATTTGGAACATTAACAAAAAGGTATTATTATTATTATTATTTTTTGTTTCAAATTAAATTACATTAGGATATAAAAAATAATAATTATTATTATTATTGTTATCAGGTACAAACAGTCTCACGGGAACAAGTGAGCCTTCTCAGATCAGCGGTTCACGATGTAAGTATCAACTTTTTAATTTTTTTTTTAATTAAAACCATTTAATTATTTATTGTGAATTGCAGTCTGCAGAGAGGAATGCAAGACCAATCCAACCACATAATGGACGACACGTCGACCTTTATGATCCAAATCCAACGCACATAATCAATTGAAATTATATATAAATATATATTTATTATTTTTTTTTCCTTTTAGGATATTTGAGAATTTAATTATTTCCTTTATTTATCACCTATTGTCTCATTTTTATCCTCAAATAATAATAATAATAATGTTGCTATTCTTTTTTATTATTATTATTATTATTCGCAATGATTTTAATTTTTCCTTTTATACAACTCATACTATACTTTTTTTTCTTTTTTTTATTTTCCACAAAATTAAAAATTTAAGAGTCGTAAGAAACTAAAATTATAATTTATCTTCTAAAAAAATTAATCTCCAACTCAGCTTTTTTTTTAATTAGACACGTGGGAAAATTGGAATGTTTGCAAGACTTATCTCCTTTCCAACAAGGAAACGTGGCAGCCCTCTCATTAAAAAATAATTAGCTGTAAAAATCAAAATATAAATATGTAGAAAGTGTTACGATGACACGACCATACACGATCTAAATGAACACAAAAATGAATGCTAGAAATTTATATTGATCCATATAGAAAATGCACTGTATAATTTTAAAATACAGCGCAATGAATATATACATGATTCAGTTTACTGTATATATATTCTCTTAAAATATTTGGTTAAAAAATGATGAACACGTGGAAAGTTGAATAACTATAAATAGAAAACATAAAGTGTTATAATTTAAAATGATGAGTAACTTTTTTTTGAATTTATTTATTTTAAAGTTGAACACGTTTTTATTTTTATTTTTATTATATTTATTGTTTTCCAGAAAAAAAAACATGAATGAGATGCAATTATTGAGTTACGGTTTGATTGTTGAAGGAAAAAGAAAAGTTTGACACGAAAAATTAGTTTCCAAGTAATTGATAATTATCTAATTTAGGTTATTACTAATTCCGTTCTAAATGTTTTAAATGTTAAAATTATCTTTTTAAAGGCTAAATATTTGTATTTTATTTTATTTAAGTATTAAACAAAAGTTGATATTGGCGTTGGAGTTGGTTCACCTGCCCCTATATTTTCACTTTATCGATGGACTTTTATGTAAATTTACAAACACACACGTTTCATGCTTATGCCATTTTATAATGCAATAATTTATTAATGATAGGATCCATAATTTGAAAAGTTAAATCTTCTACTCGATAGAAGAGTAAAAAATTCCCTACTGATATGTGAGCTCCCACGTATGTCGGAAACACGAGAACGAAGCATTTTTTATAAAAGTCTGAAAACTTCTCTTTTAGCAAACATGTTTTAAAATTGTGAAACTGACGACGATACAGGTCAAAACGGACAATATCTATTAAGGACGAGCTTGGATCGCTACAAATGAGGTGGAGTGTGTTAGTAAGAACGTTGAGTTTCAAGGAGGTGGATTGTGAGATCCCACGTTGGTTAGAGAGGAAGACGAAGATGTGTTAGCGAGGACGTTGGGTCTCAAGGGGGTAGATTGTGAGATCTCATATTGGTTGTATAAGGGAAGGAAACATTTCTTGTAAAAGTGTGAAAACCTCTCCCTAGCAAACGCATGAGACTGGTGTTGATACGTAACTGAGTAACCGAGCAAAACAAACATGATACAATTATTGGATTAAAGCATTAGATTCTTTTTTCATATGTTTTAGTAATTATTTTTGTAAAAGCAACAATAAAGCATTGAATTTTTTGAAAAAAAACGTGGAATAATATTCCTCCCAACCTCTCATCCAATAGGGTTTGAGTATGAAAAAGGTTGATGGAATATGATAGTATTCAGACTTGGAATCCATGCACAAGAAAATAGTATATAAATGGGTGGGATGGGCACATCATTTTTGTGACCAATTTCCATTTGCTTGCATAGCTCTCAAGAAATGGAAGCCCCTCATCTTCTCATGGTAGCTATCTGTTGCTTATCATTGCTATCAAGTGGAGCAGCAGCAGCATCAGCAGCGAAGGTCGGTGGGGAGTTCAGCTATGATCCATGTAGCGACAGAGGGCCTAAGCATTGGGGAGAATTGAATATGGATTGGGGAATGTGTAAGAATGGCAAACTCCAGTCCCCTATTTCCTTGTCAAAATGGACTGCTCATTTAAACCAGGGCTTGGGTGATCTTAGACGAAGACATAGACCTGCTAATGCCTATCTCAAGAACGATGGCCATGAAATTGTTGTAAGTATTGCTTTTCTCCTAACTTGGATCGAGCATAAACTCTCATAGCTGTCTTATGAGTACAAATCTATTTCTTACTTATAAACTCATAGTATCAGAGCTGAAGAGACTCTATAGTGTACTTTGTTCGAGGAGAGGATTGTTGACGATGATTGGGAAGGAGTCTCATGTCGGCTAATTTAGGGTATTGGCTTGGCACCATTTTGAAAAAAACCCAGATGAAAGGCACGAGAGCTTAGGTTCAAAGTGGACAATATATACGAGATTCGTGGTTCTTAACATTCCCACCCACCAAGAAAAGCACCTGTTTTTTTGAATATTTCTCTAATTAATTGACTACCCATTACTTTAATACGTGTTTTTATTGTTTTTATAATCCAAAGTTCACAACTTTCTGTAAAACGCAGGTAGATTGGGACGGAAATGATGCTGGATCAATCAAGATCAAGAACATTGATTACCAGCTTGTAAATTATCATTGGCATCATCCTTCCGAGCATACCCAAGATGGCAAAACGTTTCCTTTGGAGCTTCACATGGTCCACATCAACAACGTAACAAAGAACATAGCTGTTATTGGCATTTTATACGAATACGGACCACTCGATCCATTCATCTATATGGTAAAATCATCCACAAATTCCTTATTATTACACAAAATCATTGAAATTCATACGTTCTTGTTGGATTTCAGTTAGAAAGGGACATACAAAATCTAGATATTGATGGAGGTGTGGAATTTCTTGGGCAAGTGGATCCTAGAGACGTAAAGCTTGGAGGAAGGAAATACTTTAGATACATGGGATCTCTGACCACTCCTCCGTGTACTGAAGGTGTCACTTGGACTGTCATGGACAAGGTTCATTCTTTGCATTTGATACTCATTCATCCCTTTCATGGGTTGATGATGCTGATATTGATACTCATTTTTCAGGTACAAACTGTGGCACCTTATCAAGTCCGGCTTCTTAAACGAGCTTTGGTTGAAGTAAGTTCTGTTCCAACCATATTAAAATGTCGTGGAATTTAGTGACAGTTTGGATGAGAATTGAAATTAATGGTTTGTCATTTTTTGTTGCAGGAGAAGAATGCGAGGCCTTTGCAAAAGATCAACGGTAGAAATGTCTCCTACTTTGACCCATACTCATGGGTGGGAAGTGTAGCAGCTGAGTAGACGTTTCTGCCCAATTCTTAACTGCCACGTATTACTTAGAATAAAAGACCGTGGGATTTTGTCAAATCCTATGTTTATTAAATGCTTTGGATAATGTTTCTGAAATTTCAATAATCAATAATTGTGACTTTGTCTTCCAAACAAAAGTGTTTTTTTCTATTTGGTTGTTTTGGTTCTTTACTCATATGGTTGGAGATTAATTTTCATTCGTGATTGTTCTCGTTGTCGATTAATGAAATTAAAAGACTGAATTTTCTGAAAGATATTGTTCGTTTTAATCAACTTTTATAAGGAATGTTTTGTTCCCCTCCTCAATCGACATGGGATCTCACAATTCTGCCTAATCGATTTGGGTTCTTACAATCTACCATTCATGCCACGGTTTTTAAACATGTTTTATTCCCTTTTCCAACTGAGGTAAGATCTCATGATTCTGGGCAACTGATGTGCGATCTCATAGTTGACCCCCTTGGACAGCGTCATGGTATTTAAAATGCCTCTGTTAGGAGAAGTTGCAATCCCCATTATAAGGATTATTTCATTCTCTACTTCAATCAATGTGGAATCTCACAATTCGACACGGTTGGAGGCCAACACCCTCGTTGGCACACACTCAGTGTTTGATGATAATATCATTGGTAAAAATTCGAGCCCACCGTGAGTAAATATTGTCTATTTTATGTTGTTACGAATCACCGTCAATCTCACAATTGTAAAACATTCTATTAGAGAGAAGTTTCTACGGAGTAGGAGGGGGCCGGACCTTATGGTATTTACTAGCACGTGAATCACAACCCAAGCGTTAGTGTCTGCAAAGCTGCCACGCCCCTTCACCGGGTCAGCCTCATCCTCGTTGGATGCGCCACTGGTCCACACTCTACTTGTATCCAAACACTCCTTGTCCAATTTCCAGTCAACAACACATCACGTGTCCCACGCACCCATCCCACATCCCCCTAAAATTTAACCCCATTTTTTCCTTTTACACTTAGAAATTGGGTTTAGAACAGAGTACGGACTGAAATCATTACATTCATAAGGAAAATGAGATGAGAAAGTTCAAGAACAACATGAGATTAACACAACCATACACCAACCAACACGGAGAAGAAATAGATATGGTTAATTACTACAGAACAGGGCCACAATCACGGGTGTGGTTCTAATTTTAGTACTCCGCGGCGGGGAGGGGCTCATGGGTGAACCCAATGAAGAACAGCTCATACACAATGCCGGCCAAGCCGCCGCCAATCAGTGGGCCGGCCCAGTAGATCCAGTGCTGGGCCCAAGACCCAGCCACGACGGCGGGTCCGAAGGCCACGGCCGGGTTCATGGAAGCGCCGGTGAATGGGCCGCCCACCAGAATGTTGGCGGCCACTATGAACCCGATGGCGATGGGTGCTATCACTCCCAACTCACCCTTCTTCGGGTCGATGGCGGTGGCGTAAACTGTGTACACTAATCCGAATGTCATTACGATCTCGAATACGAGCGCCTCCCACACTCCCACCCCTGCTGACAGTGAGAATCCAGAAATTACCTGCCAACATTTACCATTACAAAAAATTACTCTTAATTTGAAGCTTGAAATTGAAAATGTTTAATATTTAATTGTGAAATTAACCATGAGGAAGGTTAATTAAATGACTCACTACGTCCGTGATGACGAATTTAAGCAACAAGTTAGCGACAAGAGCGCCGAGGAGCTGGGCTATCCAGTAGAGAATGCCGCGGAGGAGGGTGATGTTTCCGCCTACTAAGGCTCCGAAAGTGACGGCGGGGTTGAGGTGGCCGCCGGAGATGTTGGCGCCGGTGGAGACTCCGACGAAAAGGGCAAAGCCATGAGCTAAGGAAGCGATGATGAGGGCAGCAGGGGAGGTGGGAGAATTCTGGGTGAGTTTAGAGAAAGCAAGACCCGAACCTTGGCCGGCGAATACGAAGATAAGAGTGGAAATGAACTCGGCCAAGGCGGCCTTCAGGGCGGCGGGATGGGTGGCCTCCTCCGGCCGGCCGACAGCGATTACTATCCTCTGGAACGGCATGGTGGAGTAAATAAGACAGAGGAGTTACAGTGGAAGTGATATCTCCGGGGGATGACAATGCCGAATCCCTCCTACGGTTTATATTGAAATCGACAGGACCATGAACAGCTGACTACTGCCGGTTGCCGGTAAAACTGAATGCAGCAGATTTATTTTTATTTTATATTTATCTCACGATATTTTTATTTTATTTTTAACTACTAAGGGCGAGTTTGAGTTTGAGATGTTACAAATGCTATAAAGCTAGACACGTAGCAATAACAACGTTGGACTCCAAGATAGTAGATTGTAAGATTATTTACATGGCTTTAAAAGATTAATGTCTAAAATTAAAAGATTAATGTCTAAAATTAAGAGGACATCTATTTTGTATGTTTTAGGAATTTAGCACGTGTATTAATAGTGTAAGGAACCAGGAACCAAATTTCGTGTGCTAAAAGGAAGGGAAGAAAAAAAGAAAAAGAAAAATAAAAATGAGGAGGAGCCACGTGGGTGGGGCTCACCGGCTGAGAGATGGTACACATCATCATACAAAATAGAGCACCAGCTGGCATTGTGACTGGGCAGTTATGATTGGTGACCTATGTACTTTCTGCCAGCTCTGCTCACTGACCTCTCTGTTTTCCATTGGTGTCGTGGACCCACACTCCCTGACCCTTGACCAAGTTCTAAGTATGTTAAAAATTAAATATACAGGGAAGCCCATCTCGAATTGAATGGCCCATTCAACCTCACTCCCGAACCAATATTTTGGCCCATTCAACCTCACTCCCGAACCAATATTTTGGCCCATTCGGCCCAAATGCACAGCCGACACCCACCCTGTGGAAACACCGTGCGAATCTCTCCCTAATAGACATCGGTCAGAGAGAAAAATAATATTTACTAGTGGTGGGCTTAAACTGTTACTAATGATATCAAGTCCAGTCAACAAGACACGGGTGGGAGTAGGGCTACTCCTACCAAAGTTTGTCAAAAATATTTTGTCTCGCAAGAACGCAGGAAGAAAAGATAATCCACGACTAGCCAATCATAGAAGACCCAAATCATTATCAATCTAATAATTTAAATAATACAATCTGTTTTTATCCAATATTATATAAATTTCTTGAAAGAACAATTTATTTTTTGGAAGTGTCGAGAAAGAGAAAGGTAGTGGAGAAGTAGTAGTAGTAGCAGACAGCAAAGTCAATTAAAATAAATAAATATAACAAAAAAATGAATGGGATGATGCTTTACTTGGTGATGCTGGTGCGCCACACACCCTAACGTTCCATCGCCTCCCGGGCACTCACCGCCCGCCCACCGCGACACCCTCACGCCAAGTATAATCCTTATCTCTCCCTCTTCTCTCCGTTTTCTTCCAACTAAAAAAGACTCAAACTTTCCCAACTTTTCCACGTTTTAACCACAACCCATTTCTCAAACCACCCTAAATTTGGTAAATTTGAAGTCTTTTTAAAGCATTATGAACCGGGGTTGACGCAAAATTAAAATGACCCAACCCACGTTGTAGTAGTGTGTAGTAGTACACCCCAATGATTGGGTGGCCCATGAAAAGATGCTTAGTTAATAATTGGGTTAAAGTATAGTAGCCGGCGGGATTGAAGTGGGTGGGTTCTTGTTTTGGTCAACCTCCATTATGTGATGACATAAATTACTGACTGTGTCACATAAAATAGTAATAGTTAAATGAGGGGCTTTGTGGTTATTGCGAGAGATGGGGGGGTTAGGGAATAGCGCAAATTCTGTGGTTCCAGGCTTGCAAACTAATCCTACAGAAAGGAATCGTGCGTAAAAAGTAATGGGTGGGGTTTGCTTCAAAGCCAACCGAATCTCACTCGTTTCTTAGCCTCCTCTTACTTACATTGCTTCCTCTTCTTCTTCTTCTCTATATATAACTTCCATTCTTCGCCCATCTTTTTCATATCAATCAATTCACTATTCTTAACATTCCCTCAACACAAATGGCTGAAACCCCAGATGAAAACCAGGCTCAAATCATGAAGGGCAAGCGAACCAAACGCTCGAGACCGCCCTCTGCTTCTTCCGCATCCTCGGCTGCTGATTGTTCTAGCTCCTCCGCTGGGTTAGCCCGAGAAGGAGAAGAGGATCAGGATTTGGCTAATTGTTTGATGCTTCTGGCGCAGGGGAGAACTCGAACAGGGGCTTGTAGCAGCAGCAGCAGCAGCCCTGTTTTGGTTCGACAAAAATTGGCTGCTAATCAATCGTTGTTTCTTTATCAGTGCAAAACTTGCGATCGTTATTTTCCTTCTTTTCAAGCCTTGGGTGGACATAGAGCTAGCCATAAAAAGCCCAAATTCAACAACATTGTTAATACCTCTGTTCCGCAACCCCATTTTACACCCTCTGATTCAATCCAACTCTCCTTGCAATTGTCCACCACCAGCCGCCCTCCTCCTCCGCCGCCCCCCGCTGCCGTTAATGACCTCATCAAACCCAAGGTTCACGAGTGTTCCATTTGTGGAGCGGAATTCTCCTCCGGCCAGGCCCTCGGCGGCCATATGAGAAGACACAGAGCGTTGACCGCCAATCCGACTAGAGGCGCTACTACTACTACAACTCCGCAGTTGCAGGATTTGATGTCAAAGAAAAAGAGGAATATGTTGGAGTTGGATCTTAACCTTCCGGCGCCGGAGGAAGACCGGCACCGGCCACCGGTAGCTGTGTTCTCCGGCGCATCGCCATTGGTGGATTGCCATTACTGATCTTTTTTTTTTTTTTTTTTCCCCTACTGTTGTCTCAAACATCGCATCATTTGCAGCAAATTAAAACTCCCAATTGGGATTCAATTAATTCCTTCTTGGGGTTTGGATTTGAGTATACAATTCATTAATTCGATTCCTAATGCGTATCTATTAATTTGGCTAACTTCAATTCAGTTCAATTCTAACTCAAGATCACCAATCTTCAATGTTGTTAATTGTATTGATTTCTTTTTTAATTTGGACGCAAAGGCACCATTTTTGCATCAATTGTTGATGGTACAAGTCTTGTTTTTTTGGGGAATATTTTGTTTGGAGGAAAAACAAAAAGGTGGGTTGGCGTTAGTTTCTTCTTGTTAGCATGTTGGTTATGTTCTTGGGATCATTAATTAAAAACAAAAAAAAAAAAAAAACGACAAATTTAGTTTCTCGCCGTGTAAGAAGCATGTGATAGAGAAGTAGAGAGGAAGGAAAAGGAAACGAGAAAACTCGAGCCAAAAGAGAGAGAAAAGAAAAGGAAACGAGAAAACTCGAACCAAAAGTAGAAGTAGAGAGAAGGGAACAGAAAACGAGAAAACTCGAACCGAAAGTAGTGGATTATGTAAGGTTCTCGTGTTTCTCCTCTCACTTTAACGTCACTTTAAAACTAAAACAGTTTCTATTTCCTCTCCCTCAATAAATTATCCGAAGAAGTTATATCACTACGACAAACACATCGTTAAAGGTAAACTATTTTAAATTTGGACTTTTAATAAATATATATATTTCATAATTTAGCCTTAAATTTAAAATATTCTATAAAATATAATATTATTTTAAAAAAAAATCAAATTATAACAAATTTTACATTAAAATAATGTGTTGGGCCGGAGGGCCCAAAAGTGTCCAACTTTGAAGTCAAACGTTCAGAGCTGGGCCGGGCGGCTTTTGCTGGCGAAGATGAAGAAACTATAAGCATGCCATTTGTTTTGTGAATCCCTTCGGCTTTCTCTGACCTAGAGATCATCGGAGGAAGCTTGAACTTTAATGGCGGTTCCAGGCAGGCGCAACGGTGTCGTAGACGAAGACGATTACGAGGAAGATAATGCCCTCTTTGAAGAGAATGGTGTCATTGAATTCGATTCCGATACGCCACCTCACCTCCGCGCCCTAGCTACCGCCGCACAGCTCGGCGACGTTAATGGCCTTCGTAACGCTATAGGTTCAACTCATTCCTTCCAATCGCGCTGCGATTCTCTACCAGTTCTGTTGCTAGTCTTTTCTGTTAATTTTACTGGATTATTCACTGTCCTGATTATGTCGGGATGATCTTTTTTTCGATTAATTTTACAACGTTCGTCTTCTTAAATACCTGATCATCATTCAATTACTCTTCTCTGAAAAGATGGTAGTTTTAATGAATGCATGTTGGTTTTCTTGTTCATTTCAATTGTGATGAGGTCTTACTGGGATCTCCTCTTTTGGTTTATGACAATTTAATCTCAGAAAGTTTTTGTGGGTATCTTTTATGTTTATGTTGATGCAGAATCAGTTGCATGAAGAGGAAACTACATGTAATTCATTTCATTGAGTGGTTTGCATTTTATGATATTCTATTTTCATACCACTAGTGTCTTTCATATCCATTCTTTTTACTGTAAGCTATGTGAATCGAGGACTCTGGTTTTAATTTTGCTGGAGCTCTTTTTCTCGTTGTGAGTTTAATGTTAATGTTGCCTCCCTTGTCGGCTTTCTTGCAGATAACTTAACGATGGGAAGTATAAATGACGCTGTGGAAGATGGGGACACTGTTCTACACCTTACCTGTCTATATGGCCATCTGCCATGTGTCCAGGTTGGCTACCCTATGCAAGCTTCAACATATTTTATTTTGAACTTTTTATGATTTGTGGCTTATTTTTAAATAAATTATTCTTTATATAGTTGCTGGTGGAAAGAGGGGCAAACTTGGAGGTTCAAGATGAAGATGGTGCCATTCCTTTGCATGATGCTTGTGCTGGGGGTGAGTAGGCTGTTATAAATAATTTCCACTTTTGATCTCACAGTACTAAAAGATTTAGCTCTTCAAAATGTTGCTATGCGTTTGAGTGCTGTTTTTATCTGATCTTCATCCGGTTCCTAAATTTGCCATTGGAATTTCTTTCATTATCTTGAACTTGATAGTGAAGGTTTCGGAATGGGCTTTTTCTTCTTTTCTTTTTCGGTATGGTGCTCCGCAATCAAGGAGTGTGGAGTAAGCCAATCGAGTCTTGCTGGTCTCATTTTTTTGTTCTCCTCCAATGATCTGTGCAGGTTATGTAGAGATTGTACAATTCCTAATAAATAGTGCTAACGGCACAGACGGTGTGAAGAGGATGGTAGAGTCAGTTGATGCAGAAGGTGACACTGTAAGTTGCTGGTTTATCTTGGATGTCCAAAGTTTTCTCCTTTTTGATTAACAGATAGCTAAGTTTTATCAATTGCCCGTAGCAGATATTTGCTAGTAGCAACGACCATGTTAAACTATACCTTCCTTGTTGATGCAATAAAATATAGAAAATACACCTAGTTTTTTTGGCTTTACTGTAAAGCACAGGGCAACATTATTCTAGAAATTTTGGCTGTGGTACGGTTACATTTGCTTCTTCAACAATATGAATAATGGACTTTTGTAAGTTTAAGAAATCCTCTTACACATCACACATGCTAGCGCATGTTATCTGCCTGCTCTTGTTGAAAAGAGATAATAAGTACCTATATCTTTGTAGCATAACCTTCTAGAAAACTTTTAAAACCGTCATGGAGTAGTAATCAGTTCCAATAATGTCATTGCTACCAAATTGATTGTGAACATTATTTTTACAGCCTCTTCATCATGCTGCAAGAGGCGAGCATGCCGCAGTTGTAAGGTTGCTACTAGCTTCAGGGGCATCTCCCACCAAGGAGAATACATACGGGAAGGTTTGTATTTTGACTGAATATTGGAACTTCATCTTCCTGTATTTGGCGGTGCCCATTTTCTAAAGTATTGCTTCTGTTTAACAGGCCCCAACTGAACTTGCCGATCCGGGAACAGAGGCCAGGACGATTTTGGAAGCTGCCTCAGCCCACATGGCGATGGGGTGTCAGTAGGCTCCATCTGATAGCTGTGCTTAAAATGACTTAGGCAACTTTTTGGGCTTCACAGTTTTAGGTTTATTGTCTCTAACTTTGTTGATAGTGTTTCAGTTTTTTTTTCTTAAGTTTATTCTACTACTACAGAGACGCTTTCATGTCTAGATATGAAAGTTTTATAATATTGGAGAGGTAGACGTGTTATTTTAGAATCTTTGGTTGCATGCATTCTATTTAGTAACATTGGAGTAATTCAAGTGATTTTTTTAGAGCCTTTGTAGGTAGAGAGTATTGTAAAACATAATTTTGTATGAAAAATAGTCAAGAACTGAAAATATTAGGTTGAACAATCTGATGGATTCCCCTAATAAACAGGGGCTAAATGAACAGCATAATCATTGCTAGTTGGTAGTGTAACTGGGAAACATGATGGTGAATATTACTAAGTTCATATCCTTTTGTAATATGTTAGAAATTAAATTCAAGAAGAATTCAGATGGGATCCATTTTATCAAAAACATAGATCATTGCTGGTTGGTAGTGAAACCGATGAGAAACAGAGGATGGGGTGAATATTTCCTTTCTTTATGAACCAAACTTGTGGTTGGGGGAGGAGTTTCCTGTGATTGCCTTTCCAACATGAAGGGGCCATTGGTTGCCTAGTACTGTTTATGCTACGAGTCCATTGAACACAATACAAAAAGACAGAAAATTATTGTGAAGGGGAAACCTTTCCTTACAACTTTGTCACTATTGTCACTTTGGCTTATTATGGTATTGTTGTTTGCTTTATGGTTTTAAAATGCATTTATTAGGGTGAAGTTTCCACACCTAAAGGTAATGTTTTGTTCCATTTTCTAACTGATGTGAGATCTTACAATCCACCCTCTTGGAGCCCAACATCCTCATTTGCACACTTTCCAATGACTGGCTCTAATACCATTTGTAACAACCCGTCCTCATTTGCACACTTTCCAATGACTGGCTCTAATACCATTTGTAACAACCCCTGGTATCCTTTCCTTGCTAGCACACCGCTCAATGACTGACTCTAAACCATTTGTAATAGCTCAAGTCCACCAATGGTAGATGTCCATTTTGACCGATTACATATCAACGTTAGCCTCACGGTTTTAAAACGTGTATGCTAGAGAGAGGTTTCTACACCTTTAATGTTTCATTTCACTCTCCAACCAATATAGAGATCTCATAAACTCGATGTAAATATTTAGTTATTTAGATGTAGAATTGTGATACATCGAGTGAATAATGTGTTTGAACATATGATACAAGCCGAATTTGTTAGTATAGATAGGTACAATACCATGCCAAACAATCCAAAGAATGGGAAGAGAAACTGGAAGAAGAAGAAAAATTACATAAGTGGATGGTTTGATGTATTTGGCTTTCTTTTTCAACTCCCAATTACAGTCATTCAAGCAAACAAACAACTCAATGACAAGGAGAAGCAGTAGGAGACATGTACAGAAACTGTGGATAAAGGAGAATCATTCTATATGTTTGGTGCTCGAGTTTTCAGAGGCAGCAACCTGTTGTTGATGCAGCCTGGAATTCCTGCTGCTTCAGAATGTTTCTTTTGACAACAGTGGAACCCTGTTCAATTAGACTAGGAGCCTCCATGATCTGTACCACCAAAAAACAAAGGTTCATACATCGATCGAGGCGATTGATTTCTCGAGGTTAGTACTCGAAATTGGTTTGATAGATATCTACCTTCAATGCCAACTCTTCAAAGCATTTCTCCACATTCTCTCTGGTTTTAGCGCTGCATTCAAGGAAATGGGATCCAAGCTCTTTTGCTAGAGCAGCCCCCTCCTCTCTGCTCACAGCCCTTTCAGATTCCTATGTTCATCACACATGAACTTCTATCATTTTTCAAGCTGAATACCATAGAGCTTAGAAACATTCCCTAAACGATTATCGCTATTCGTAAAGAGCGTTTGTCGATTATCGTTCAAAAATGCAGGTGTTCAACTTAGAAGTGTTCTCTAGAACACCAGAGAAAGAAGCAAACTTACTCTGTCAACCTTATTACCAATAAGCATCTTGACACAGTCCTTATTCGTCGAGTAGAGTTCCACTTCTTTAGCCCATACGTCGGATAAGTTCTCGAACGTTTCTCTCCGTGTGACATCATAGACTACAACAAGATAATGAACATTTCAGGATAAATGAACACCACATAACCCAGAGAAACATTAGCTCAGAAGACAACACAAAATGTCAGTGAAACATCCTTCAGCATTGGCCTTACCAAGAATGATCCCTTGGGCACCTCTATAGTAGGAGCTGGTTAATGTTCTGAATCTCTCTTGTCCAGCTGCAAGAAACCAAGGCTTAAACAAGTTCAAAATCAATCCATCTGAAGTGAAAAGCTATTGGAAACAGTGAAACAATTGAGATTCCAATGACTTTGGCAAACTTTCTTCTTCCCAAATCATTTAGACAGGAACAACAAAAGAGAGACTGTTCGAGCAGAGATAAAATTTGGAGTATAGGTCCAAATTAAGTTCTTACAAGTTCAGATACAAAACGAAGTGAAAATCTCCAGAATTTGAACCAAAAATGGCAGATAAAAGAACCCTTTAAAGCTTAATCATTACCAGTGTCCCAGATTGTCAGCTTCAATCTCTTCCCACCCACCTTAAGCAGCTTGATCTTAAAATCCACACCTAAAAACAAACAAACTGTTAAAAAAAAGAACAAAACAGATCCAAACGCAGAAACCAAAGCACCACAAAGAGGAAGAAGAAGAAGAAGAAGAAGAAGATGAGAAGGGCATGTCCTGTTCATCTTTTTCCTTCATGCGCTTCTTGTATGTAAAAGAAAAAGTGGGGTTTGGTTGTTGTGGCAAAACAAAACATACCAATAGTAGGGGCAAGATTTTCAAGATTAGTAGAGATGAAGCTGAGAAGAAGACTACTTTTGCCGACACCCGAATCGCCGATCAACAAAACCTTAAACGACAGATCGTAATTGCTGCTCTGGCCGGAAGAGGATCCCATTTTGATGATCCAAATGAAAGAACAGAAAAATGGGATTACAAAATTCTATTGGGTGCCATGTTTGTTTATGTAAGAAAACAGGGAAGAAGGAAGAAGTTCCAAGAAAACGGCTAAGTGAGCACCAGGTGAGACGACAACGTATTTGTTCTTTGCCCTTCCCCTTTTTCTTTTCTTAGATGAAATGTAATGTTATTGTCTCTATTATACCCTTTCTTTTATGGGAATTCCATGTTTTTGTCCCAACTCTACTGCTTTGGCTCGCTGTTTCAGCAAACTTGTTTCTTGTAAACCAAGTTTTTTCTTGGAATAAACTTCAAATCGGCCCTTCTATTTATTTATTTATATATATTTTTTTTAAATTCAAACTGGGATTTTTATGATCAGATATTCCTTGCAAAAAAAACAAAAAAAAAAAAATTCAAATTTTGAAATAAAGCTAACATTTTTCTGTCCTTGGAGTAACTGTTTATATGCAATAATTGTCGATATATTCTATTTAATCTTTTTTTTAGGCGTAGTGGGAATCTCAATCATCATCAAGAAAGATCATGATGGATGGATGGATGGATGGATGGATGGATGGATGGATGCATGGATGGATGGATGCATGGATGGATGCATGGATGGATGGTCTTCACCTTTTCCGTCATTTTCACTCGGTTTTTATTTTTTAATTAGAGAGACCGTTATATTTCGAAATTATCGTGTACTTTTTAGCTCTAAACTCCATGGGCCATTTATAATTTGGCCCAATAATTATGATTATGGGCCTTAGCCCATATTGGTTCTCTCATTTTGGGCCTTTTAGGTCCTTTTATGTCGCCGGGACGACGATGGAGTAGCTTTTGTCAGTCGGAAATTCGGATCCGGTGAAGAAGCAACGCTGAAGTTCGACGGCGATGGACAGAGAGTGGGGGTCGAAGCCGGGGAGTGGAGGAGCGGCCTTTGCTCAGAATGAAGCTATCGATCGTCGAGTGCGTCTTCGACAGCTTGCTCTCGAGACCATCGATCTCGCCTAGGATCCCTACTTTATGCGCAATCGTCTTGGAAGGTCCCTTATTTTCTCTTGTTGAGTTATATTGTTTTTTTGGGTTTTTCGGTAGTTATGAGTGTAGGATTTGCTTGACTCTGCACAATAATGAGGGTAATTACTTGGCGCATACGCAGGGGAAGCGGCATCAGACTAATTTTGGCTAAGAGAGCTGCCCATGAAGCCAAGGAGGCTTCTGCTCAACCTCAACCCCACAAGCGGAAGGTCTCTATTCGCAAAACAGGCAAGCTTTATTCATTTTTTATTGTTATTATCTTGCTGCTTCTTTGCAATTGGATTGATTATACTCTTCATTTGGCCATTTATTGCATTTGTTCATTGATAATCTAAGCCTGATAGTGTAACGGCCTAACCCCACTACTACCGGATATTGTTCTCTTTGAGCTTTCCTTCAAGATTTTTAAAACGCCTCTACTAAGAAGAGGTTACATTCTCCACTACTTATAAAGAATGTTTCATTCTCCTTCACAACTGATGTGAGATCTCACAAATAGTTTGCTAGGACTCTAACTACGTAACATTAACGTGCATCAATTGACTCCAGGTTAAGTAAGAATTGGTAATTGGAAAGGGTCAGTCTTTCCGAGTAGCCTCAAAATTTGAAGTGTTGTTAGTAATTCGGTGGATGTGTTCCTTATTGTTTGTTTTTATACTACAAAACAGAGATTGTGTTAATTAGCTCCTTTTCTGCCATTTGTTTCAGTTAAAATTGGTCGGCCTGGTTATCGAGTAACAAAGCAATTTGATTCTGAGACAAAACAGAGATCTTGGCTTTTTCAGGTATGGCTTTGTAGTTTATACGACCTCTTTGGTATCTGTTGAAGATGAGATTTCTTGGATATTAGCGGGTGCAACCTTTTGATAAAAAGTACCAATATCTTCTGTTTGCAGCTGAACCATATGAAATAATTGCATTTGTTCAAGGTATTATAGTCATATGAGATAATTGCATTCAAGGGATTATATCTTTGGATTTACAGCTGATCTTTAACTTTTCTATGAATTGAGTACTTTTTGTTTTTAATCTTTTTAGTTTAATCTTGTTAACAACAAAGTAAATGGCTTCCAACTTTCAAGCAAACTTTTAACTTTTTATATTCAACATGAAAATTTGCAGTTGCAGTTGTATTTCAAATCCAAGCCACAACCTGTGCCTGCAGCCAACGGAACAGTGCCGCCACCACCACAAGCTCCACCGCCACCGCCACCTCCACCCCAGCAAGGTGTACCACCTAGAGTTCCTCCTCCGATGCCTGGATCCTTGCCACCTCCCCCATCTGTAATGGCCAATGGTCCTCCCAGGCCAATGCCTCCTGGTGGAGCTCCGCCGATACCCCCACCGCCTCCAGTTGGTAATAACACAATGGCAAATTTCACTCCTGGTTCTCTGGTGAATGGACCACCCATGCCGCCGCCTCCACAGGGCTTCCCAGGCCAGGGTGTCCGGCAGCCGCCACCACCGCCACCCAATATGGGATAGGCCACATAGCATCAGTTAGGGCGGCTTGAGGATAAATTTGGTACTGAACGTGCAGTAGACTTTAATTGTTGGCCTCATTAGTGAATTTTCTTGCACCTTTCCATTGTATGATCATATTTCGGCATTTAGAAACTAAACATATTTTTTTATTGTTGTATCTATTCAGGCAAAATGAAAGAAAATTGTTGTATCTATAACAGCTAAGATGCTTGAACCATACTATTGTCAAAAATTAAAAAAAAGAACCATAATTTTTAATATTTCTCATAATCGCTGATTCTAGCACGAACAATTCACAACAATACTCAAAACGCTTAATTTGAAAAGAAAAAAACACATTTATGAAAGAAATGACCAAAATTTGAGATCAACAATGTAGAGCTATGATGAACTTGTTTCTGCAACTAACTTACAAGTATCATAGGGGAAAATAAAAAAAAAGATGCAGCCCCTTAGCAACTGAATATAGAATCTTCATGGGCGATTTCCCTTATTTCCTTTTCAATAGAAGAGTAAGGGGAGAGAGAAATGTCGTAAGCTCAATATGAATGGAAGTATAAATTAAGACTCTACGAGAGGAACTGCAGAAGATTATGTTAGGACGTGGAAAAGAGTATAAAAATAATCTACAAGCGAACGGCTGAGAATTTTAAAGCACTTGCACAACCTGGGTCTCATCGCCGCCATTTGTCACCCACAACCCTCCACAAATTCCAAAATGAAGGCTCTCCGATCTTCAATCGTTGTAATATGCATCGCCTGCAGCAGGAAAACTTCTGGAGAAGAAATTGAATTGTAAGGATATGCATGTGGAGCAACATTCCTCAGCTTGCGAGAGCATTTTGAGGGAATGCTTTCTGAAATATGAACTCAAGAAAACGTTGGGAATAGAATGTAGGATCCACAGAAGAGATGGACAATGAATCAAATTGAATAGATTTATATGCATGTTCGATCTTCTTGCTCATATTGTACTCTTGTAGAATGTCGATGATACCCAGATATAGAACCACATCATAAGCCTCGTGAAACATCTGATTTTCTTCTTCTCCTGGAATTTGCTCTGCTCTTGCTGGCATGTTCACTCCAAGTTGGATTTGGAGCCTGCATGACGGAGTGTGAAACGATTTTCTCAATTGCAATTCTTTCTGATGGATATTGTTAAATACCAGTAATTGCAAGAAGAGTAGCGAGTAAAGATTAATAAACCATAACCTACTTTTTAAACATGATTTTACTGTGGTTGACAAACAAACACTGAGACGTGCTTGAAGATATGTCTCAATCTTAAAGCTATAATAATGATCAGACAGGTTGATTCTTGATTAGGTCAGCTATCTTGCTCTTACTATGTATTCATGATTACATAAGTAGTTGGAAGAATGAGAATTTTGTGGGGATGAAAAGTAGTACCTTGCAGTACCAGGCAACAGAAGATCCACTTCCTCATCCCCAGCTGCAGATGATGCTCGCAAACGGCTGCCTCTGATGTGGGAGCCAACAACAACACTGTTATCATCTGTGCGAGGTACTAAGACAAGGCCTTGTGGGTAGGTCGATATGTCTTCCTCGAAAGGATCTGCCATTTAATATTAGCAGCTAGTTGTGTCAAGTACATCAAATCAAATCAGAAAATCAACTGGGCGACTGGCTAAACACAAAATTATACTCAATCCAATGCATAACAGATGAAATTTAGATGGCCACAAAAACCGAGATCCGAAAATTCTCCCAATTGTAAGCTCAGTCTCAATGGCAAAACAGAATAGGATCTTAGGCTGGACAATCAGCAAGCTAAGGTAATTGGCATCCGTCAATATCAAACTAATGTTTCAAATCAAGTCATACTCATAGCATATCAATAGCCAACGTCTGGAGATAAGACTGGTAAACGTTATGTTGGATATGGAAAACTAATGGAGATAATTTTCCAGAGGTCCATAAGAACTGTCAAATGAAAATTACTCTAATATTCATAATTTCATATGAAAATGAAAAGTACTGCCGAACTTTGAATATTATCTAGGTCCACCAACCTTGCTTGCCTAGCATTATACTGTCAAACAGAATAATAAAATTCTAAAATGTACAGCTTCATATTCATAACCAATAAATACCTGATTTTGGATCTCAGAATATCAAAAGCTCGCAGCACTTTAAATTAAGGGATCTTCATTTTGTGATTTCTCCAATCCATGTAATTTTTACCGTATAAGTTATTTAGCCTATTCTGTATGTATTATATCCTATTTTAAAAATTTGAAGCCGGAGCGATTATAGATATTGACCGGAAATACAAAAGATAAAAAAATGTTCTCATTTGATACTCACCATCCTCCGCAAGAATTTCCAACCCATCAGCCCTCATGCTTCGATTGTAAGATATGTGGGATTGTAGCCGCTGTGGGGCACGATAATGTACACCCAACAAAAGGCTATAGTCCATGATATTCTGCACTTCTAGGAATTTACTGTCAATCTCGATCTGCCTGTATTGAAGAGAACATGTGATTTAAGAATGACACACACACACGCGCCTTTCAATGTTGAAAAATGCTTGTTCAGCAATAGTTGTTTGGTGAGCTAGAGTTCCTTCAATCAAGTACTGCTCTATCTCAAACGTATAGCATGCTTGGAATTAAAAATCAATTCTATGACATACTAACGTATAGCCTTCCCAGAAATAGAGAATAATTTAAGTACGACTTACTTTAATAAAGCCTCTCGCCAAGTAGGTTCCAAATAAAACGAGTAGTTCAAATCTAAATCCTTGAGTATGGTGTTTTCATCTATTTCAACCTTGTCTGCTGATCGTCCAAGGGACGAACCCTTCAAATCAAATCTCCGATGAATTCTCAACTCTGTGCAGAACATATTTCCCATTACTACAAAGCGAAACTGCACAAAAACAAAATGTTAGCTGATAAAATATTAGTTGTCTGAAGTTATTATTTAACAACTTGAATTTCAAAGCAAGTTTGAAGAAACATTTAAAATCATGCGGTCACAATGAGGTCAGAAATAACATATGATAACCTAAATTCTAATTTTTTAACAATGTGCTAGGGTCTGTGTACATCTAGAACGCCTCATATGTGGAAGAACCGGAGAATGCCACAGGCTAGGACAAAAGCTCCAAGTTTTGGAGTTTAATACCTTATGACCGCTGGATGGTTTGATTCTATGAAGGCCAAAAAATTTTGTGACCAGTGTATTCTCATATGACCTCACATGATGATGATAATCTGGAAGCATCCGCAGAAGAACCTACAGCAAAACATTTGTAGATGTTATTTGCATATAAATGAATAAAACACACGGAAAATTCATGAGTGACAGTTTAATCCGGCGGACTTGTTAAGGCAACTCGAGAACTATGAGGGTTATTCGGCATGATGGGTTGTCTTTTTTCTTAAAGCATGAGATAAAAAGTTGCGGTACTTCTTCGAACTCAAATCTCAAGTAGTCTACTTTACTCGGTACAGATATGTTAGTCCTTGGTATGCATCTTACAAATGCATTTCAATCAAATGAAATGTACACACATGCATAAAAAAAATAACTCAGTATCATCCAACAGAAAAATGAAACACCTATGTTATCAAAATACGGTGCTACATTTTCTAAACCCAATAAATACTTCTAAATCATAATTCAATCTGAACTCTCAGAATTTAGTTTTTACTTGGAGAATCATGCAATCAAAATACGGTGCTACATTTTCTAAGCCGTTGCATAATTTCCAAGAAGAAAAATATCTATGTGCTATGCAGAAGTTACTCCGGAAAATTTACAATTTCTATGAAACAATCATTGCATGTAGGGGTGTGCAACAATTTGGACGCTCATTGCAACTTGCAAGTAGAGATGAACACACCTTAACTTCAGATTTTCGGAGTGTTTTAATCATGAAATGATCATCTTGGGACAGAAAGAAGACACTGCCACTCTTCCCAGGTGAAGATAGCTCTCTAAGAGCATCATTGCCACAAATGGACATCATGTAGTCAGCAGCATCAATCTTAAACATCTCCCTCAGATTCCTATAACGAATTTTTATAAAGATATGAATCAAGAGGATGCAGAGAAAGCATAAATTCCATCATCTTTGTGCACATCTCTTCTTTTTTGAGAACTACATTTCTTCTTACTTGCAACCCTAGTAAATGCAAGTTAGAATGCATAACAAAACTATGAGATTAATCGAGTACATTCTCCCATCTTGAAACTTAACAGAACTTTGATTTTCTACATAAAGAAGACACCTGGGGTGGAAAAAACCCAATTTTCCAAGACAATTACATTAAGAGACATTTAAGAAAAATAATGTTGAAACTTGACAGAAATGACTAAAAAGAAGAGCATTTCATAAATCATCGGCATACAGTTTCATAACTAAACATATTTAATCCTCCATTTCATAATTACAAGAAAAGAGATTAAGCAACATGGAAAACTAGATATTCTAGAAAAACTATCACGAATGAATATTTTCACATGTATAATGATAGGACGGTAACTAATAGACAGTTGACCTTTGCCTTAACTTTTGTATCATGTATTTGCAATTTGTCCTGGATTAGGAAAATATAAGGATAAAAGAATATTCTCCTTCTCATTGATGCTGACATAGTGTTGGTAAGGAAAACAACACGAGCAGAAGGATTCAACCATGCTCAAGGTACATGGTAGAGATGCCCAGATTGCCACATAATCGAGCTTGTAGAAGCACATTGCCAGGTCAATTGTAAAAGGAAGCAAAATTCTTTTATATATATAAAAGAAATCATTTCAAGGAGAGGAGAGCCCAGACCTGCACCAAGGCAGGTTACCAAAAACATCTCCAATCGGAAGAAATTGAATTCATATTAAAATCTTCACAAAGTTGGGCGTTTTTACACCAAAAGCCAAAAGGGATGGTGATTCATAAAAGCTATTAAATGATTTCTTCTAATCCTTCAAGATCTTGAAACCTTTCATTCCATATAGACCACAAGAAAACCGTTATAAAATTCTCTCAAGTAGTATTTATAAAGCTGTGCATCAGAAACAACAAGACAAAAGAATGAGGACCGACAAAGACATCCAGCCATAATTTGTTTGGCTATCATCTAAGCAGCTCCATTTCTGACCAAATATTTCATCATGAAAATTGGTAAACAAGTAGCACATTTAAATCACTTGAATCATAGC